GTCTAAAAAACATTGATCTATTAATAAATCATAAAATTAATGTTATATTATTGACTAATTGCTTAAATTTTAGCAATTACTAAACATGCCACGCTAAGTCCCATAAGGGTGAGTATCTCGTCGGTGACATGATAACATCATGTACATCATGCGTGACACGGAACGCTGCCATTGGCCGCGGCATTGCACACTCCAAGGTAGGGGGTTTGTCGCCGTCGCGATCAACGTTTTGCGTGCAAAATCCGATTTTGTAGTGATTCAGTGTTCTAGAATCTTCGTGGCGTTTTCGTATATTCCTTAAATTAATTTCCGCATCAGTGTTTTACCATCTAACTTAGTATATTCGTCATACCGTTTAAAAAAATTAGACCAAATTACGCCTCGTTGAAAGGTGGGATCTAGAAAAGAAAAGAAAAGTAGAAGAAAAAGAAACGTACATACAAGATCTCATCGACCGCAGTTGATCCGTGCGAGCAAGCGAAAAGAGGAAGAAAATCCGGAAGGCTTGAACAACAGCAGAAGGCCAAAAAGCCAACGAGTGAAGATCGTGCAGGTGAGATGGCCCTCTTTTCAAATGTATTGTGAAGCCACGAGCAAACCGGGGAGGTCGTGCGTTCTGCGATCGAAAAGCCATTTGGCCGGTATTTGTATCATGTATGCCCTTAACATATTCATTTGGATCACTCTAAATTCGTTGCAGTGAGATTTTACTGCAAAGCAGTGAAATTTCACTGTAGCGAATAGTCAAAATGCGACCACCCTCTTTGCAGTGAGATTTCACTTTAACTTAAAGTGAACTTGCAAAATGCAAAATTTATTTCCAAATGCGATTAATTATCTCTTCAGGAGTATATCCCTGTTATTATAAATCATCAAGAAATACATATCATGGTGACAACTCAAATCTTTGAATTGGTGATTTAATAACATTCTTGAAGAAACAGTTAATAATTTTTTTAAAAACAAATTTTGCATTTTGCTAACATTAGACGGTCATCAATATATTAAATGAATATAATTCTGCGCCGCACGCTAGATGATCCGCGCGATCGGTTAATTCCTGCGCGGTGCGCAGAGAATTAGATCTGTCGGTTAGACAATCGGTATATACATCTCAATATTTATTCCATCTAGAAGTTACTGTTTTTTATTAACCTTTTATAGGAGTAATTTTAAAGAAAACAAATACAGAATGGATCAGGCAACACATAATCGATTATCAACGAAAATAAATCAATCACTAAAATTTCTGGAATTACTGATACACATTTGCAACGAATTAGATTTCTCGTAAGTATGAAAAAAAAAGAATCTTTTATACTCGTCAAACCGTGTCAATTTTATTCAATTTGTTTCGACAATTTCATAATAATAAATTAACAAAGACAATATTACATTAGCCTCACGTATTTTTAATCAAAATTGCAAATTTTTACTATACATATAAGTGCCCCAATATATTGTAGGGATTCTTGCATAAAAA